TTTTTGCAATAGCTACATTTATGCTTTCAGGCTTTAGGCCTAGTTCACATTTGTGTTGCCTTTTACAGCGAGCATCAGCTGAGACAACACTGCACTCAGTCAGCAGCAACCCACAAACCAGCTGCTGCAATCAGCAACCGTGCAAGAGCTACGAGACGCAGCTCTCCCAAAGAAATGATCGCTATCCAAGAAGATGGGCATAAAACAAAGGTAAGACGGCTCCACAACAACCTCACACAAAAAGACGAGGTCCACGAAAAACCAACACCTCGGGTGAAAGCACACACTGACCTCGTCCACCGCGAGAAAAGAAGTAGAATGGAACGATGCCTGTGCTGCTCTTCAAGATAACGTCGCTTGTCAGGAGGAATCCTGCATAACCAAAGTCCAAAAGGAGGAGAAGGAGAGAAACATCCTCTCTGAGAATTTCTGGATGAAGGGAATCAGTGAGATGGAAAAGCAAGAGAGGCAGAAAAAGACACAAAACTCTTCATCAGCAGGATCCAACAGCTTCAGGTGCGCAGCCTGAGCTGATCGTTTGATTTCACGATAATGTTCTGTTGGATCCCAAAAGCGGTTTCAGAATGTTTCAAACTTTAATGCAGAATCCTTGGTGATTTCTTTTTTGTCAAACAGCTTGCACTTTAGAAAAGGAGGAGGAAGGAGAGGAGGAGAAGAAAGGGAGAGAAAGACTTGGGGGAGATGGAGGGAAGAGGAAAATGCAGAGGAAAGACAATGAAAGAGGGAGGAAGCACAGAGGAGTGTGGAGAAAGCAACTTTGATTCCTCCCCTCTCCACCTTCCTCCATCTGTCCCCTAACTCATCCCTCTCAGAAACTGCCTCTATCCACCAGCACCAGCTCTCCCATTGCTCCACCACATCCAGAACACTGTGTGAAGGATTCAGGAGACAGCAAACCAGAATCCTACATCTCCTCCATTTTATCCCCATCACACCCTGATCCTTTATCCCCCAACCCTTTTTCCTTACACAATACCCTTTACCCTCCCTCCGTCCCTCCATTTTGCTTCACTGTTTCACTGTAAACAGTTATAATCAGCTGTAAATAACTCAATAAAATGTAATCGATTACATCTAAATCTACAGTGTTTTACTACTAGCTTGTTTTAGAGTCAACAAATGAATATGGATGGATGAGGTCATATGAACAAAAAGTGTGTGTTCATCACTCATGTTAATATTTAAATGCATCTCAGCACTGATATTTACTGCATTCCCAGTTGAAAGTATAAAGACAGTTGAAAGATTACATGACTGCCCTGCTAATCTCTAAACTCACCAGATGACAAACATTTTGTTTTCAGATACAGTCTCTTTTCCATGAAATATAACTAATATAACCACACTTCAAATAGTAAACTATCAAATCAAACTTCAATCTCTTAAGAGATAAAAACAGATTAAAGAGCTAAAGAGCAAAATAAATCCATGAGTGAACTGATTAATATCTTTCATTTTCATGCACATGGATATATCAGGTCAGATTTGCCTTGTTATACCACATAAGCCCAACATGTAAAGTCCATCTTCTACAGCTTAGAG